TACTGCATATTCTGCTGGCATGTTGTTTTCCTCTAGTTTCCTAGTTATAATTGAGATGCAGTCTTCAACAGGTAGGCATGTAATGGACATATTATATTAGTCTGAGAGCTGGCGACGAATTTTGGACAAGTTGAAATTGTGATAAAATATAATTTCCTCAATTGGCGAATCCAGTCCCGCGAGTCTGGCAGAGCGTTTGCTGTTATTTCTTTACTGCGCAGCATATAACATTTGCAAAAAAAAAATTCCGAAAAAATGTTTTTTTTGCAACTTGATTTCTTTTTTTATCTTTAATATAGTTTTATATAATTTCAAGAAAATAATCCCAGACGTTTTTGTCGGTTATAAAGTATTACCAGACCTACAAAAATATTTTTTTATAAATCCCATAAAATATACTTTTGGCATTTTAAAATTTTAATCACGAATTTATTGAGTAATTTTTAATAATACCTGCAGATCATCAGACAAATTTAACGGTTTTAAACAATTCCCAGACGTGAATAAAGTTTACAAATGAATACGACAAAAAAGACTTATGTGTAGGCATAAGTGCGAGAAAGATAGCTTATCGAAGCATGCCGACAGCGGATGGGGGCCTAAGCTGGGCCTAAGCTCCTCGCGCTGTGATTGGTTACTAATAAATATCTATTTCAAAGATTTTAAGATTAAATTCTTGTTTTGGGATTTAGCATGTATGTATGTGCATATATGAAATGTAAATATCTGTGTATATAATTTGAGTTATTTTAGATCAGTGCTGTAATTTTTTCTACGTGGTAGAGCCATGCTGCAGCTATATTGGTGGTATAGATGTAGCACAAATGGGTCGACTCGACCGGGGAAGGACCTCACTCTCACAGAATACCAGCGTAAAATAGCAGCTTAACACTGCTGTGTTTCGTATGGTAAGTGTAGAGAACCGGAGACCCTTTTAACTGGAAAAGAGGCATTCCATCTTAGTCCTCACAGGTGACAACGCATCTGCATTTTGATTCTTTATTGAGGATAGATGTAGATATCTATGGGTCACAGCAGCCACTTACCATCAGGTGGACTGTGTGCTCGTTTGTCACCCTATCCTATAAAAAAATTGTAAAATAGCTATTAATTTTAACTCGTATTAATAGCAACCTTGGCAAAAATATGTTTTGATAATTACCACCCCATATTCTTAAAAAGGTACAATACGAGTATGTATAAAGTGCTTGCCGCCCAGAGATGAAGGTGGAAGAAATTACAATATGCACGTTGTCTACAGCCGTAACTTTTTTCACAGTGATATGGTACAGATGTAGATGAATTTTGGTTTACCTAAATTTAGTTTTATTATGTTCTTTTTATAGGACATCGGGCAATACTTGCATAAGTAGATATTTTTAAACTGTGCTTTAAATATCACACTAGGCCGATAGCTATGAAATAAATTAAATCAAAGATATTAGACACATACTTTTATTATCAATTACAAAGAGAAGCCTAAGCAAAATCACAGTACTCTTATCATCAAATAGTCTAAAAAAACTAAAACGGGGTAATTGAATTTCAAATTGAACTGAAACCTCATAAATTATAATATTTGAGTAAAACGACTCCATGCCATAATGCCTGGAACCAGCCAATGGATCTTCAGAGAGTAGTGAAGAAGAGGAGAAAAATTATTAAAATGATAAATCTCTATAAATTTCCTTTAATGTTATAATTTAAACAAAATTATTAATTTTATGATAATTGGAAATAGAAAAGAATGATTGAATGATTTAATCTGTCAACCTAAAAATTATTGTCCCTGCCAAGGTAAAAGAATAATTACTGACCGTGGCCTAGTTTCTGAGTTTTTCCATTTTGAATAGTAATTAATAAGAAATGATTGACTTGAATCCTATTATAAACGTGAAAGTTTGTGAGGTTGTATGGATGTATGGATGATTGTTACTCTTCCACGCAGAAACTACTGAATGTGTTTTAAAGAAACTTTACAATAATATAGCTCATACATAACTACAATTAGGTAGTTCAAAAGTCATCTATATGTGCACCACATCACCGTGAAAAAAGTTACGGCTGTAGAAAATGTGCAACTTGTTAGTTATGCCACCTTCATCTCTGGGTGGTAAGCACTTTATACATATTGTACCTTTTAAAGAACATGGGATGGTAATTATCAAAACATATTTTTGCCAAGGCTACTATTAGTAAGAGGTTAAAATTAATAGCTAATATACCAATTATTACTGCACTGATCAAAAATATGCCATGCCGTGTAGTGGCGGTTAAGAATATCCATTACCCCATAACTTCCCGTGGGTGTCGTTTGAGGCGACAGTGGGAAACAGGCAAGAGATGGACAGCAGCATCTTCCTGATAAAAGCAAAATTACAATTAAAAAAAAACTGCGGTTGCCACACGCTCTCCAAGCGTGACAATTATGGCAAATACCCCCTTATGATGAAAGTAACAAAGAGACGGCCCCCAGTCTCCGTCGGCCCCGCTATTCTTGGCTACGGTGGCAACCATGGTAACGGCGGGGCAGAGGGTGCTAAGAATCTCCGATGGAGGTTCGGTTGCCACCTAAGACGACTCGACCTGGCAACATACAACGCACGCACCCTGAGGACTGACGAGAAGATCGTGGAGCTGGAAGAAGGGATAGACAACTTACGCTGGCATACTATAGGGTTATCCAAGGACCGAAGGGAGGGGGAGGACACGGTAATCCTCGAATCCGGCAACTTGCTCTATCACCAGGAGGGCGACCATCTGTCCGAAGGAGGTGTCGGATTTATCGTCCACAAGTCTCTCGTTAACAACGTTGTAAAGATTGAGAGTGTGTTGACGAGGCTTGCGTATCTTATACTCAGAATCAGCAAACGGTATTCGCTGAAGGTCATACAGGTTTACTCACCAACCTCGGCACATCCCGATGAAGAGGTGGAGGAAATGTATGAGGATATCTCTAGAGCTATGCATTCCTCCAAAACCCACTATACGGTCTTAATGGGAGACTTCAATGCATAACTAGGCACAAGAGAGAACGGGGAGCTGAAAGTAGGGAAATTTGGAATAGGGCAACGGAACCCAAGGGGCTAGCAACTGGCCGACCTCATGGAGATAGAGGGACACTTTATGATGCACTTTTTCTTCCAGAAGCGGCCCCACAGGAAAAGGACCTGGTCCAGCCCCGACGGTTCGACAAAAAATGAGATTGACTTCATTATGAAGACCAAACGACAACTATTCTAGAGTTCCTATATGCTTGGATAGACTTTTTAACGGCAATAAGTACACCTCCACCATCAGCAGCCATTACAAAAGTATTTGATGATCAGTCTCTCCTAAACACTTGATAACGGTCGTCGAAAATTTCGCTGTCGTATATACCATCGTTAAGCCAAGTCTCCGTTAACACAATCAAATCAAAGTCATTGGCACTAACTTCAAGAAAAATGTCTTTTAGTTTTGTCCGCATGCCGCGAATATTTTGATAATGAATGCAAAAATTGAACTTTACGACTAAAAGCACTAATATCTTTTTGAAATACTCGTAGTAATATCTAATGCTAATTAAACTAAAGTCTTTAAAAATTCTTGATGAAGTATCAACTTAGCCGGGTGTTCGTCGTCCTTTCGAAGAAAGATTTTTTCCATTTCTCACCCATACATATTTGAAATTGTGTTTTTGGCCCATATACTTGTTATTGCGTGGAGTGATTTGTTAGAATGCGTTAGATGCTCGGAGATGTAGACCGATGACTCCTTGTCACCATAACCTACTAATTTTGAGTTTAACTTTTCTTTGGGATGGGATCTGTTGTACTTGTACACAGCTGCAAATAATGATGATGATAATAAAGAATATTTTTGGAGAGGTCTGGTAATGTAAAATAAATAATTACTTTATAACCGACAAAAACATCTGTGATTCTTGTCTTGGAATTATATAAAAACTATATTAACTTTTTTTATATTTTAATTGTTAAAGTTAAAGTTGCCAAAAAAACATATTTTTGGATTTTTTTGCAAATGCTGCGCAGTAATGAAATTCAAATTCAAATTAATTTGTTTCAGATAACATAAGATCCATATCATTGAAAAACATTGATTCATTGATAATAAAAATAATAATATGTCATTAAAATACAATTAAAATACATTGAAATACAAATAAAATACATTAGAATCAGAATACAATAAATACAATTAACACATAATTATTAATAATATCCTCTCGCTCCCACAATTACTGGGACATGGATGTCGCAGCAATGCCGGAGGAGAGGACAGTCCAATCTATCACCTATTATTTTCAGGATAATATTGGAGCTGGCCCGCACTCTGCGCACCAGTGACGCACACCGCTTACGCATGGTCGCATGAAATAATACAAACCATTGAAATAACCTCAAACGCTCTGCCAGACTCGCGGGACTGGGTTCGCCAATTGACGAAATTATAATTTTTCACAATTTCAACTTGCCCAAAGGATCTTCCCAAAATTCGTCGCCAGCTCTCAGACTATATGGATGTGAAAGATGTGACTGACACGATAGTTTATGATATGATTATTTACAATTTTATAAACCGCCGGAAAAGCTGGTTTTAAAAAAGTTAAATGGCACATTGTCTTTTGAATCATCAATTCTAAAATTTTAATCTAACAGAAAACATTTAGTTTCTATTTCCTTGCAGCCTTCAAAGCAGTTTCGTAACAAAAATAAATTGCATGATATAATAAAAATTATTAATCTGAAAGATGTATACGAAATTTTGTTAAATAAAAAAACTAACAAAGAATTTTCTATAAAAGACAAATGACTTTTTTTTTCGACAAAACTCCGCCGGTTACTCTGTTCGACAGAGTCGTGTTTGTTTGGCATTATTTATTAATGACGCTGATACCAAATTGCATTAAATAAAAGAACGGTGTCATTGTCAGTCATTTGGTGGTAATCTTTCGCTTAAGGTTTTCATGTCTTTGCGTTTTGATGAACATGGTTAAAATGTGGCTGTGGGAATTGTGTTGCTTATTTATCGTGTTAAAAAATTGTAATGGAGTGATTTATCATTTGAATGGTTTGTATTATTTTTAACCGAATTCAAAAAAGGAGGAGTTTATCAATTAGGATATTTAAATATATTTTAAGTATGTTCGGGCATAACTCCGTCATACCGTTTAAATTTCATAAAGATCTGATGATTACTTTCGGAGACAGACACCGGAGCCCTTTAATAAATGCCAGCAAATCAACCGCGATTGCTGCTTTCGCATACCTGTGCTCTGTTTACGCAATCACACAACATCACGCCTGTACGCTCCAAAGGGGTACGCAGTTGTATTCAGTATACCACGGTACACCCTAATTTCTGTCAAAGTTGTTATAATGAAGTTGGTAGTACAATTTTTTTTATTTTACCACTTGTTTGACTGACATCAAAAAAGATCTCTTCACTTGGTGCCTTATAAATACTTGTTCCGTACGGGATATTAACCCGCGGCCCATAGCGTTGCAACTCATTGCTAAGCCACTGCGCCGCGGAGCCGTCGGACTGTAATTTCGTTTCTCACTACAGTTTTATATAAAATATATAATTTTGTCAAGAAGTATTAAATATTACATTTTATAACATCGTATTAATAAATATAATATTAAATCTATTCATATACAAATAAAATTAAAGTGTCTGTCTGTAATATTGAAATAACTGGCTTCTATTAAGCTCGGAGGTGTATTTGCATGCTATTAAGACATGCATAACCATTTTTTTTTTAATTTTGCTTTAAAATATTTTCTGACAAACAGACAGACAAAAATTTCTGTCCAGGCTAATCTTCGAAACGGCTCAACCAATTGTCATGAGACTTTACAAACAGATAGAGAGCAATGCCAGGAGGGATATAGGCTATGTTTTATCCGAATAAAGTAAATGGTCTTTGATTATTGTAAATGTAAATAACACCGTATTAATGGATCTATTTTCCCAGGCGCATTCGGCGCGGATCGCTAGTACAACTTAACATTAAAGATTATTGATACTGGTTCTTCCCCGGTCGAGCCGACTCATTCGTGCTGGTATGAGGAACGGGCCCAGTACCTACCGAATCAGGCCGACACTGTTGCATTCTAGCGTGGACTGTGATCAAAGCCCGCAAAACAATGCAAGGGTCCTTCAACGAAAGGTGCAGCATGTCAGTGTGCGAGTGTTACGTCCATGGATCCGTCATTATAACGCCGGACGACGAAGGTGAGAACTGCCTCGGACTGCCGTAGGGCACCGAACTGGAAAAGTCCGGGAATCGACGGGCTGTATCACTACTGGCTGAAGGGTTCGTGGTGTGTCACACTCTGCTAGCCCAACAGTTTCAAGAGGCTCTTTACTAGAAGTAGCTCCCGAGTCTCCTCACTACTAGTATCACTCACTTGGTTCCTAAAGATCAAGCTACCACAGACCCGGGCAAATATCGCGCCATCACGTGTTTAGATTAAGTGTCACGTGTAGAGACTTCCTCGGGCAGTGTATAGGGCAGTGGAATACGATCTTTTGTCATCTAGTCAAGCAAATGACGGTTGCGGAAAGCCCCATAATTAAGGATAAGAAAGAATATCTTTCAGTTTTTGAGTCTATTCTGGTTCTGCCTCTCTCTAAGCCCTTTTAGTAGATTCGGAAAGGAGGGACAAAAGTGACCCACCTTTTCTATATGTATGATCTCAAGTTATTAGAATAACGAGGGCTAAGTCCGATCAGCCTCTCGGGTCATCTGAGGCGAAGTTCCAGGCTCAAATACAGAAGGCGGTGATCCTCGATACCACCCGCATCGTCCGCCAGTTTCTTTCCCTTTCCCCCTAACCATCGGCCGTTTGGTGTCTCTTGCTGCGGACTTCCATCTGGTTGGGTTATTATTTTTTTATGTTGCTATATTTAATAAATATTTATGTATATTTATCCTTTTCTTTTATATATTTATTCAGCCCAACTAGATGAAAAAGCTACATTTATACTCTATAATAATAATTATTTATTTATTCAATATTTTTTAACAATATTCAATTACATCTGCACCTGAACTAAGCAATAAGCTATAATAACATTCACACATATAGTGTAGCATGATGGATGCCATTACATGATCACCTAAATAGATTACGTATGCCAACACAACAGCAACAATAGCAACAACAACCACAACAGCTGCAACAGCAACATCAGCAACAACAGCTTATCATAATGTAACACTTGTCAACTTCACCGCAGAATACTCTGCTTGTTCTAGCGGAATCACAAGGGACAGAATATCGACCAACGAGATAATCGATCGAATGACATTGACGAAATCTCCAAACATACAACACCTGGAAAGATTCAATATAACATACTAATTTACATGGTGTACAAAATCACGTTTTTTTGTTATAAGGGTGACAAACGAGCACACAGTCCAGCTGATGGTAAGTGGATGCTGTGGTCCATAGACATCAACATTTATCCTCGATTAAGAATCAAAATGCAGATGCATTGTCACCCCTGAGAACTAAGGTGGAATGCCTCCTTTCCAGTAAAACGGGCTATTCCACGCTGGTATTCTGTGAGAGCGTGGTCCATTCCGGTCGAGCTGACCCATTGGTGCTACAACCATAATATGGCTGCAGCGTGGCACTACCACGTCAGGTGAATGGTTAAAGGGTTTTTGAAAACACTTATACCTAATTAAAGACATACCATAATTTACATAAAATACATCACCCCTCTTAACTTCTCGGTGATGAGAGACATCCTTTGTCTAATAGTGTAATGTTTATAGGATATTACTCCATTTTGTACGTAAAATAATATCTTTGAATGTTACTATTTTGTTTAAGATTCGGAGTACGAACGCATGCCACCGTTATTCGGTCTGGATCGTTACGACACATGCCTGAACGATGTTGATGGATTATACTGTGTGGTAAAGCTGGACTTGCATGTGGGACCGAACAACGAGCTTATGAAATTAATTAAGGTCAGTACTTTTATAATTTAGAATAGAACAGAAGTTATTTATTGTGCTCGTTGTAGGTTTCAGATAACTAACATCTTTTACATTTAACATATTATCTAATCTTAGTATACAGTAAGGAATTAATGAAACCACAAGTAACACTAGTCAGTAGAAGTGTAGAAAAATTAAATATTAAATTAAAATCAGCCAGACCAAAAGGTGGCCAGCTCATTCTGCGTAGATCGGACCAAAATTATTAATTAAAAAAGCTGAAGGTACTCCGGTTTAACACTGACATCGGGACGTCAATCACCTAAGTCCCCCGTGACCACGGTTGCCGGAAAGCAACCGAAACGTCGGGAATATAAAATATAACTTATTTTATATTCCCGACGTTTTGGTTTAAATAATCGGTTTAATTAAACGCGATAAAATCCGTAAAAATAGTTTTATTCAATGTGTAGTGTTCGCGTAAATATAAGAAATCATTAGAAATAAACGTACTTAAAAACAGTATTCACACACACAAAGTCAATTAACTAATAAGTGTCTATTTCACCGTAAAAAAATTGTTTGACTAATTGTATTTATCTTACGAAAAATAAATCACTTGAAGCAATGCGCGTAAGCAGCGAAACGCACCTGTATTTTGGAAGAATTGCGGTGAACTGAAAGCCAAACTTCCAAATTCTAAAATGGCGAAAATAATAAAAGTAATAAATAAGGCGGCCACAAGGTGCAATTATCGCTTATCGATACTTTTCTTTTTACACTTACTTACCTACTACATTTGAATACAAGTAATTTTGATTTTTGATTTGATAACAATCGACAAAAACAAAAGTTTATTTTTGTACAATTGAACTAACGAAACTACCGTTTTGTGACTTCCTAGGAAACGGGTAAGTAAGTATGACTTTTTTAATTGGTTGTTTTTATGGGTTTTTTATCATGTCAAAATAATTTATTATCTCTAAATCTACAAGAACACACTTAAACAAAAAAGCTTTAAAGCTTAGCTTTATATATTTAGGTCGTCGTCTTTTAATTTTATTATTGTTCATAGAACCAACAGCAGGCTATAATTTTTTTTTTATAGGAGTGGGGGCAAACGAGCATGCGGCTCACCTGATGATAAGTGACTACCGCCGCCCATGAACAACTGCAACACCAGGGAGGGAATTGCAGATGCATTGCCGGCCTTTTAAAAAGAAGTACGCTCTTTTCTTGAAGGTCCCTAAGTCCTATCGGTGCGGAAAAATCGCTGATGGTAATCGATTCCACAAGAAAGTCGTGCGAGGAAGAAAACATCTTCTAAATCGCACAGTGGTGGACCGCCAATCATCCAGATGGTGTGGATGGTATCGGGAGATCTGCCGCGATGTGCGTTCGTGAAATTTGGCGGCTGGGATTAATCCGAACAATTCCTCAGAGCACTCCCCATGGTAGATGCGAAAGAAAATGCAAAGAGATGCAACATCTCTTCGCAGTGCCAATGAATCGAGCCGATCGGAAAGGGCTCGGTCGTCGACGATTCGAGCCGCTCTGCGCTGGATGCGGTCAAGTGGAAGGAGCTGGCACTGGGGAGCCCCTGCCCAGAAATGGGAACAGTATTCCATGTGGGACCGAACCTGCGCCTTGTAAAGTTGCAGGCGGTGTGCCGGCATGAAATACTGTTCCGCTCTGCTGAGCACGCCAAGCTTTTTAGAGACCAATTTGGCCTTCTCTTCCAAGTGACCACGAAACTGCACGTCACTCGATATGTCGTCTCCGAGGATACCGATACTGGCTGAGGCAAGAAGGGGAGTGCCTTGAAACTGAGGAGATACGACAAAGGGGATCTTTTTAGCGGTAAACGCGCAAACTTGTGTCTTCTGAGTATTAAACTGGACTAGATTTAGTCGCCCCCAATCCGAGACTTTGTTCAGCAAAGACTCGACTTCAGACACAAGTTTGTTCCAGTACTCGGCGACGTTTTCCCGAGAAATATTGGCACGGCCGGTGTATAGACCATCACCAGTGCTGTCATCCGCATAGCAATGAATGTTACCAGTTAGCAACATATCATTGATATGCAGAAGAAACAGCGTTGGTGATAGCACACAGCCTTGTGGAACACCAGCGTTAATAGGCTTGTAGTCAGAACATGCACCGTCTACAACGACCTTGATGCTCCGATCTGCAAGGAAGCTGGTGATCCAATTGCACAATTTCTCGGGAAACCCATAGGAAGGGAGCTTCGAAAGAAGCGCTTTGTGCCAAACCCGATCGTAGGCCTTCGCAATGTCCAGACTAACGGCCAACGCCTCCCCCTTGGACTCTACTGCCTCCGCCCATCTATGGGTCAGGTAGACCAGAAGATCACCAGCTGATCGACCCCGACGAAAACCGTATTGGTGGTCACTAATCAGCTGGTGATCCTCAAGGTACCGGATGAGCTTGCAGTTAATAATGGATTCCATTATTTTGGAGAACAAGGAGGTGATCGCGATAGGCCTATAGTTGGACGGGTCTGAGCGGTCGCCTTTTTTAGGGATCGGGTGAACAAAAGCTGTCTTCCATGAATTCGGGACTACGTCTTGGGAGTAGGAGTACCGGAAAAGACGCGTTAGAACCGGCGCCAACTCCGGAGCACACGTCCTCAGCACAATTGGGGGGATTCCGTCAATATAAACAGAAGTTCTCAAATAATCCTTAATGCCAATTATACGTTTCTTTATGTACATAATATATATACTATCGCTTGTTAATTGACAAATTAATGATATTAATTATATAGTGCTTCGATTTTTAAAAGTTATCTTAAAAACAAGTTAAAACATAAAATCAGGCAACAAGCAAAAAAGAAGAATATTACACAACAATACTGTGTAACTATACAATTAATAATTAACAGAAATGAAATTTATATTATATATCTTTTATACACGCGCGTGCGCGCGCGCGCGCGTGTGTGTGTGTGTGTGTGTGTGTGTGTGTGTGTGTGTGTGTGTGTGTGTGTGTGTGTGTGTGTGTGTGTATGTGTGTGTGTGTGTGTGTGTGTGCGTGTGTATTTGGTTATCTCTTGCTTAATGACATAATAATTTCTTTCTTACATATTGATTTGCTTTGGTGGAAGATATCAGTCGAAGAAAATTCTTTATTATAACTTTTAAGTATGCGACATATTACAGAATTCTGTGCATAATTTGAGCGACTTGAAGGAACATGAAATAACGAAGTATGTCTAGTGCGTTTAGTAGGTGCTCGTTGTTGTACCGTGTAGGAAAATAATTCGGGGCTATCAATTTTGTTACTGCAGATATCATGTAGGTATAGCATCTGCAGTAAAGTTCGACGATTTTTCAACTGCATTAATTTATGAAAGATACATGATTCTTTACAATTTTTTAATGTTTTATTTTCAGATCGAAAATTCAAGGCCTTAAAAAAATTTGTCTGTATTCGTTCTATTTTGTGTATGTATGTTATATCCTCCTCCTGATGGAACATCCACAACATTTGAGCGGTGCCCAGCCACTACGACTGCCTGTGAGCGATTACGCAGATACGATTCCATCCATCGGAGAAGGTTACTACGTATTGCTAACTCCTGGAGCTTTTTAAGAAGGATAATATAGTCAACGTGGTCAAAAACCTTTTCAAAGTCCGTATATATTGCATCAATTTGGAGACCATTATCCATCCCCTTAAGAACATCATTGCTAAAGATGGAAAGATTAGTGCTGGTTGAGCGACCACGTACAAAATCATGTTGTTGAGAGGGAATATTTCGAATAACTAACGGGTATATTTGTTTATGTACTATTCTTTCCATTACTTTACTTAATACATTCAGTATTGATATTGGCCTTTAATTCTCAATGGCTATTTTTGTTCCCTTTTAATGAATTGGTATAATATTTGCGGTTTTCCAAATTTTTGGAAAGAATCCTTCTTTAAAACATCTATTAAATATTACTGTTATGGGAGCTGCCAACGACTCTGCATATTGCAAAGAAAAGAGGGGGAATTCCATCACAACCGGCGTCTTTGGAACAATTAACACTTTTTAAAAATTTTATTGTGTCGGCAATTGAGATGCGTATACCACTTATGATATTACAGCACGTCACTCTCTCTTCAGATATTTAACTATACTGCTGTGCTGGTAGAATAAAATTTCTGCTAAAAAAGTCGTTAAAATCATTGCAGATGTCTCTATCCATTAACGAAATTCATCACCATCATTACAGCCTTTCATAAGTCCACTGCTGAACATAGGCCTCCCCCAAAGAATCTGCATCCATCGACTTCCTGCATGTTTTACCAGGTCGTCACTCCATCTCGTGGGGGTCGCCCTACACTTTGCCTACCGGGACGAGGCTGCCACTGAACCTTTCTTCCCCATCGGTTGTCGGTTTTTCGAGCTACATGGCCGTCCCACTGCCCCTTCAGCTTACTAATCCGTTGGGCTATGTCGGTTACTCTGGTTCTACTGCGGATATACTCATTTCTAAGTTTATCACGCAGAGAAACACCGAGCATAGCCCTCTCCATAGCTCGCTGAGCGACTTGAGCTTCCTCATCCGGCCAGCAGTGAAGGACCACGTCTCAGATCCGTAAGTCTTCACTGGCAACATGCACTGGTTGTACAATTTCGATTTAAGGTTTTGAGGTATGTTTGACGAGAAGATGTGTCGTAGTTTCCCGAACGCTGCCCAGCCGAGTTGAATCCGTCGATTGACCTCCCGGTCGAAGTTGGACTTACCTAGTCGGACTATTTGTTCCAGGTAAACATACTCGTCAACAACTTCGAGCTTAGTGCTCCCAAAAACTACCGGCATAGGTGTGACATGGACATTAAACATGATCTTTGTTTTGTCCATGTTCATCCCAAGACCTATTCGTTGGGAGACACTATTGAGGTCATTGAGCATGGTGCTTAGGTCCTCCAGCGATTCTGCGATAAGGACTATATCGTCCACAAATCGAAGGTGAGTGATGTACTCGGCATTACCGTATCCTTTTCGGTCCAGAAG